TGTTATATGTCATATGCACATCACGTATGGTTGTATATTATAATTGCGTATGTTATATATCATATACACATCACGCATGATTGTATATTATAATTATGTATGCTATATGTTATATACACATCACGCATGATTGTATATTATAATTACGTATATTATATGTACACTACATATGATTGTATATTATAATTACATGGATTGTATATTGTATCTGTTTATATATACCATACATATGTGTCAGCTTTACTGAGCTATTTCACCAGCCATGCCACTCAGCGTGGAAAGGGTGCAATTCCCTGGTTTTGGTGGATGAGAGAGGTGAGCAGCCATCAGCACGATGCGTTTTAGGGCGTCCCGCCGCCCCGATTACGTGCGCTCTTGCACTCACCCAGTCAGCCACTGCCCGCCGCCGGCTGCGGGCGGTGACACGTCTGTTCCGGCGCGGGGCGCTCGGCGCCAAGCAGGGAAAGGAGATGGGGCGGCGGAGCGGGCGGGAGGCGCGGCGGCCCGCGGAGCCGGGGGCGCCCTTCGAGCGAAGACCCGAGGGAAGTGGAGCTGCGACGCCAGACAGATGGGGAAACTGAGGCTCGGAGCGGCAGCGTGGGCTCCCCGGGGCTCTCTAGCAAGCCAGCGGCAGGGCTGGGCTTGACTCGAGGTCTTGTGTGCTCCGAGCGCCCCGCCGGGAGGAAACCCCAGCTCCGGACGGGGACGAGAAGGTGCTGTTTCTTAGGCACCTGCTGGGTGCCGGGTGCGGGGCTCAATTCTGAACACCCTCTCTGGGCTTTCTGAACTCCCTTCTCCGGGACTCAGTTGTCGCATCTGTAAAAAGGGACAACAATGCCGGCTTCTCGGGGATGTTCTGAGAATTCAGTGAGCTGACCCAGGTAAGGAGCTTAGAGCGCCGGGAAACGCTAGGGATCAATTCGGCCCCTAGTTCCTGAGCCCCCCGCGGTGTGTCAGGCACTGCGCCGGGGGGTGGGGGGGGGTCCTGGGGCTCGCGTTCCTGTGCTGGAGACAGTCACTGAAGCAGAGAGCTGTGCACTATGAGGAGTGGTGATAAGAACGGTGCACAAAATAAAGCAGCCATCGCGGATAGAGGGGTGCTGCATTGAACAGGGAGATCAGGGAGGGCTTCCCTGAGGAGGTGACTTGTGAGCAGACACCCAAAGGAGGGGACAGAGCGAGCCATTCCAATCCCTGGGGGAAGAGCGTTCCAGGCGGATGAAACAGCAAGTGCAAAGGTCCTGAGGTTGGAGGATTGTTGGTGTGTTAGAGGAACAGCAAGGAGGCTGGAGGGGGTGGTCGAAGGGGAGAGGGAGGGAGGTGAGGGCAGAGGGAACCTGACAGAGGGCTTTGACCTTGACTTTGAGTGAAAGAGGAGCCAGGGTGGGTTGTGAGGAGTAGTTTCAAGTTCGTGAAAACTTGTTTTAAAATTATTATTATTAGTGCTGCTGCCGCTGTTATTGTTGTTGTTACTATTATTCCCGTGTTGAGAAGGGAGACACATAGGGAGTGGCCAATGCCCGAGGGGGAGGCGGAATTTGAACCCGAGACTGGGAGCGTCTCGCGAAGGCGCCCTGACACTGCCCACCAGGGGGCGCC